TTGCCAAAAACGAATTTGTGGATCTTGACTGTTTTAATCTACATTGGCTTAATTTCAGTCTGGAGAGTTTTTTGTGTAAACTGCCTTTGACAGAGTTGCTGTGAATTTTGCATCTGGTGATGTTTAGTCTGTACCTACCTAATGAAAACGCTCTGTCATGAGTAGTATTTGAAATTCATCATCTAATGGGGACAGCTGAGAATGCATCTGTAAGTTTTTACACAGTGTTCAGAGTTACATTGATGTAAGTCTGGGACAGAGTTCCAGCTTCATTAGATTTCTGTGTGCCAAAGAGAGCATAGCATGGTAAAATATTTACAGAGTAATTTTTATAATGCTGTTAATTGAGACCACATGTAATTACAGCCTTTTCTTTGGGCAAAACCTGAGTCTGGAGCCTATGGTTCTGCATTGTTTTCTTCCAGTTTTTGCTCCTAAAAATTATGTGCACTTTGGATTCCAATCTTGAGCCTCATGAAAGTAGCATTGCTTGCTCCCTGGTGTATTTGCTTTGTCTTCCATTACTCCCCCCCCCCCCCTTCTTTTTATATATTTGTCTTTCTTTTTCCTCGGTGTCTTTCTTTGTGGTTCTCTACTAAAGCTGTACCAGGTGACAACAAAGAAACTTTTGTCTAGGCTTCTGTAGATTTCACAGTAGGTTATGCTGAGTTCTTGTGTAAGGAACTCAGCATAAGTTGTAAGTTGTGGGTACTGAATTTCCTAAATTAACTGTTTAACTGAATTGCTTGGAGAGCCTGTAGTGGCCTAAAATGAACAACAGGGAACAAACACTCACATTTTTAAATACAGATGCTAAGATTGCAATGCAGAATATTTCCTATATGCCACACAGAAAAATTGCATTTGATGTTTATGTTATAAATTAAATGGACAGGTTGACTAGTTGATCAACTAATGTCAAGACCTACTTACACTAAACTCTAGTATATAAACTGTGAGTTATGGTAGTTGTCTTTGTAATAGTGCAGGTGCCAAGGTTTGCGAAGAAGTGTTTGTTAGGTAGGAAATAAGGAGAAGCAGGCCTAGCAACAGAATAAATTTACAGTGAAGTTTATCCATTAATTTCTTCAAAAGTGCAAGCTCTGCTAAACTCATTTTCAGAGAGAGACACAAACATGTCCCAAAAGTAGAACTCTGCAGGGAAGAAGGGAGGATAAATCTAAAATGAGAATTGCAGTTTTTTGTTTAGAAATTTACAAAGAGAAACTGCAGCAACTAGTGGAGATTTCTTTTGTTTTTCCATAGCCTCTACTACTTCCATAGTAGAGGCTATGGAAATGAGGGACTCCCAGCTCTTTGGGAACAATGCTCAAACCCAGTACAGAAACTCCTTGTCTTGGATTAGAGAAGTCACCTGCATGTAATGACACTTTTTCTTCCTCCTAGACCTCCTAGACACCTGTCTCCTTAAAAGCATCTCCTGTAGTTTAAAGGCAAAAAAACCCAATTGTGACAGAGATTTTTCAAAACTAAAAACTTTGATCTGTTTGCTGTTAGCTATGTTCCTATGTAATTCTGGAGTTAAGCTATTCTTTTTCTTTATTGTTTATTTTTGATATGAATCATACTTCTGACATCTTCAAATTTACCCTGAAGTAACATGCTGTAAATGTCATACAGGGGAATTTGTGCCTTTGATTTCTACAAGGAGTGATCAAAGTGTCTGATTACCCTGGTTTTAGCTAGGGTAGGATTAATTTCTTCTCAGCAGCTGTTACAGTACTGTGTACTGGATTTAGTATGAAATGGTGGTCATCACAAACTGATGTTCTGTGTTTTGTAAGTTGTGTATATACTAAGTCAAGAACTTTTTTCTCCCCCTTGTCTCATGCTCTGCCATTGAGGAGGTGAGCAAAACAACCTGGGAGGGAGTTTAGCTGGGACAGGTGACCTGAACTGACCAAAGAAATAAGCCACACCATAAAACATCATGCCCTATATATATAAACTGGGACGAATTACTGAAAGGGTGGCCGATCTACATTCAGGAGGGGTGGTCTGGCATCAGTCAGTGGGTAGTGAGCAATTGCATTGTGCATTGCTTACTGTTTCCTTTTTATCATCATTATTATTTACCATTTAAAATTAAGTACAATACAAGAATTATTATTAATAAATTGTTCTTATCTCAATATACACATTTTGCATCAATTCTTTCCCCCATTACATGTGAGGTGGAGGGGGAAGAAAGAGGGGAGCTGACTGAGCAGCTGTGTGGTATTTAATTTCCATCTGGGCTTAAGCCACAGCAGACCCCTTCCTGGGTTTTGTCACCAAAAAGACTGAAGTGGGTTGACCCTGACTGGATGACAGGCACCCACCAAAGCTTCTCTATCACTTTTCTATGCAACTGGACAGGGAAGGGCTCATGAGCTGAGATAAAGACAGTGTGAGGTGACTCACCAAATGCCATCATGGGCAAACTAGGCTTGAGTTAGAGATATTAATTGAATTTGTTGTTAACAAAATGAGAGCAGGCTAATGAAAAATGAAGTTAGACCTTAAGAATACCTTTCTCCACCCCTATGTTTTTCCCAGCTCTACTTCCTCCTCCCCAGTGGTGCAGAGAGATAGGGAATGGGGATGAACATCAATTGATGACAAGTTGTTTCTGCTGCTGCTTAGGGAAAGGAGTCTTTCCCCTGCCTCAGCATGAGGTCCCTCCTGTGGAAGGCAATGCTCCACAAACCCCACTGATGTGAATCCATCCCACAGGCTACAGTTCTGCATAAACTGCTGCAATGTGGGTCACTGTTCCACATGTCCTTTGAGAACAGCCTGCCCCAGTGTGGCTCCTCCATGAGGTCACAAGTCTTACTAGGAAACCTGCTCCCTCCTCTGCAAGAGTCTGCATGTCTCTGCCAGGAGCTTGTTCTAGCACAGGCCTCCCATATGTTCACAGCCTTCTCTCAGACATCTACCTGCTCCAGTGTGGGTCTCCTCCATGAGCAGCAGGTGGATTTCTGTATCCCTGTGGTCCTCCATGGGCTGCAAAGGGTCAGCTGCTTCTCCATGGTCTTCACCGCAGACTGCAGAGGAATCTCATCTCCCATGCTTGGAGCACCTCCACTCCTTCCATCAACTGACCTTGCTGTTTGCAGAGTGGTTCCTCTTACATATTCTCACCCTTCTTTTCTCTGGCCAAAATTATATCCGCACAATAACTTTTTTCTTCTTAAAAATGTTATCATAGAGGCATTACTACCATTTCTGATTGGTCCAGTCTTGACCAGCAGCAGCCGTCTTGGAACCAGCTGGCATTGACTTTGCTGGAAATGGAGGAAACTTCTATCAATTTCTCATGAAGCCACTGCTGTAGTCACCCTGGCCACCAAAACCTGGCCATGCAAAAACCCAATACAGTTGGGTTATTAACCACTGTATACAGTTCAGTTTTATTTCTCAAATATTTCATTCTCTCTTTTAGACTTCCAAGGATGTGGACTAGTAGATTATTTCTCTCACTAATTTCTGCTGATTAATATACCTTATTATGGGAAAGATTTTCCTGAAAGTTTATTCCTGTAGTCTCTAATCTATTATTTATGGATGTAAGTGAATTTTCTTGGCTTTACACTGTGGATACGCCCAACAGTATTTCCTGAAGCTATTCTTAAGATCAAGCTGACTTGAACCCCTAGTGGGGATAGCCTCTGAGTCCCCACACTGCTCAGTGTGGTCAATTATTGCAATCTGTGCTCCTTGGGACTTCTGTGGAGTTTTGGATGGGCCCATGTGGAGGCTGTATGTGAAAAGTGTCATTGATTTTTATTACTGTTCTTGTGCCTGTCATATAGTTGTGTTGTAGTTATTTTTGGAGTCAATAAACCTTTCACCTAGATCCATGGTAAGCCACAAAGAAATTTTGTGATACCTCTTTACCATGTTACCTTATGCATTGCACCATGCTGGCAAACTTTCTCAACCGACATACGGGTGGAAGTCTGGTGCTGCAATGGTCCAGCCATGGGACAGCTTCCTGCTTCTAGACGCTTGTGCTGCTAAAGCTCAGCACAGGTGTTACTGTTGAATGCAGGCTTGTTTGCAGTATTTTAAGGACAGTAAGATGCAAATGTGAAATGAAAATGAAGAAATGTGAAGAGCATTTGGAGGTTTTCATGATCTGGTGAAATGTATTTTTATTTCTGAATACGTAACTGATATTTCCAAAAAGTCTGCCAATGAACATGAGTGTTGTTCTGCACCTTCTAGAAAAGATAACAGCTGTCAAAGGCGTTTGGTAGCCTTCTCTGTTTTTCTACCTAAATGTTTCCTAAGTTACAGAAGCCATAAAATACACATTCCAAATAGGGTATTGACTTTTGTAATTCCGTCCCCAGTTAGAAATTTAATAATTGCATTATATTTCAATATGATATTTCAGCTACTGTGGAAATAATGCTGCTTTAAACTATTGCATGCTTCTTATGCAGGAAAGAAACAAAGGGATTTTAAGGCTTTAGTTAAACTGGCTACTGTGATAGGGCTGTACTTAGAATATTTTGAACCAATGCTAGTTTTTATTTAGATAAGACCTTAGGTCAGAAGATTGTTGGATCATATAATATAATTATTCTCTATTTCCTCTTAAAAGATATGTTATAGAGGGAATTGTGAAATTATGATAAAAAATTAATTGCAGTGGCCATGTCCTGATATGGAAGAGGTTCGTCACATTCTGTTGTCTCCCACACTTGAGAGTGGAAAGCTTATGTTAGGGAACAAGAGCAAAGATGAGAGAGTGAGCAAGAGCACTTTCATGTTACTACTATTATACTGCTAAATATAACATTACTGTTAAATTGTATTACATACAAAAGTATACTGTTAAATTATTTTTATATATACACTACTATATATATACACACACTACTATATATAACACCACTGTTATTTTTATTTTAAAATTATTTATGTTTCCCTTAAAATTATTACTCGAAAGCTGAGTGAAGGTCTGATGTTATTCTCCTTGGTTCCAGCCTCAAGAAACAGCTTCAAGGTCTCACATCTTCAAAAATAAGTCTTTTAAGAAATCCAGTATCTGTGGATTCTGCAAACAAGTTATTTATAGCCAAGGAATTTCCTGCAGAGGTGAGTAATACATTGTGTGGTTTTTATTTTCTTGCTTTGTTAAGAAAATTAGTTTTATATTAATGTTAAGGTTTCTAGGAATACATGTTTCTGGTAATTCCCCTAGGAATAAGTAACCTTCAGTTTATTTCCTTCCTTTGTATAGTATGGTTCCCTGCTACTTTCAGGGAATAGGGTTCTGTAGTAGGTAATTGGACTTGTATAATCATGTGCTTTTACTACTATGCTATTCAGACAGAATAAGGCAGTGCCTGCTTGTGGGACTCAGATTCAGTCAAAGAAAAACTGAGAGTTTCTAGCCAGGCAGACGCCTGGGAAAGAGCTGGAGAGAATGTAAATAATTCTTTATCTCTCTTGTTCTCACATTGTTTATAGTTAAGTTCTATCACTGTGCGTCAAGCACTTTGCACCAATGGTGTAGCTTGTTTTCACTTCAGAATCAATGGACTTGGTCTTTGCGAAGCTCTGTATAAAAGAGCAGTGTATTTTGAATAAATCGGAGTTTTACTCTCAGCAGCCTTCTTAGTGAGTCTTCTCATTCCCGTCCTGCCTCGACAGCGACACCTGCTGAGAATTTGTGAGGGGTGTATGAGTGGGACATCTGCATGGTGGATGACACTTGGCTCTGGAAATTAGTCTACAAAGAGGAAGTGTGTAACCCTTCCTCCCTTGAGGCATGAAGGATTTATCTATATTAATTTGCAAAAAAAAAAAAAATAAATCACAAGAGCAGTTGTCTATTTCCCTTAATTTTGTCATTTGCATTATGCTCTAATTGTTAGTCCTTTAGTCTAATCACTCACAGAAAGAATAAAGATCTCTTGGATAGCACAGACTAGAGACTTTCTGCCTGCGGCATTCCTGCCTGCACCTTACTACTGTTTTCCCTCACTCTTCTCCCTTGCTGTGTAGAACTGCACATCCTTTCATCTTCTCCACGGGGATACCTGTAAAATAAAATACACCTGATAAAATTAAATATTGGGAAAGCTTAATAGGTCTTTTCTGCAGGTTATCCAGGGACAGGGCTTTGATCCCCTGGCTCCGCGTGGTTAATGTTTGACTCCTGTTATTCTGTGTTAATCAAGTAGTTTCTTTACTTGCTGTATGCATGGTTTACTTCCCAGAATAAGAATGTTATTATCTGTTAATCTAAAAAGTAGTTGCTGTTTTCACTTAGAGGTGTTTGCACCAACTTCAGGTTCTTGTCTGTTCATCTAAAAAGTAGTTGCTGTTTTCACTTAGAGGTGTTTGGACCAACTTCAGGTTCTAGTTAGATCGCATTCTCCCATCTCCATCCTTCCATATTCTTCAGACCCCTTAGGATCCCTCTGAGGGTCTGAGAGGGAAGTGTGAGAGGATATGGAAGGAATGTGGCCATTTTTTTTTAGCTACAATACAGACTGCACCATAGAACAGCTATATAGTCAGCATTATAGCTGTCATCATAGGAGTGGTAATTATGTATGCATTTCTTAAAAAAATTCTTCTGTCTGTCCTTCTGAGGGTTGGTTCCAAAGTTCTTAGGATTTAATTGTTTTCAATTTAGCAGAAATTTTTTTGAAGGAAGACTGTTTACTGAAGGAACTACCTAAAGACTGTCTTGATCAGCTTCAGTGTAAAAAGTACTGTATCAAGAGAGAATCAGAACTTTGATTCATAGAATTATTTAGACTGGAAAAGACCTGACATCAAGTCCTAGTGCTAACCCATCACTTCCAAGTATAACACTAAACAATGTCCTAAAGGGCTACATCTATGTGTCTTTTAAATGCCACTTCCTTCCAACATACTTCCCATTCAAATATATTCATGTCTATGATACATCTGTGTCTATATCTAAGTCAGTTTGGGATAAAAAAGCTGTGAGTGGGTATTTGTGTAGGTTTTTAGTAGTATGTGGTAGTCATTTGGGGGATGTGTTTTTTAGCCCTGTCTTGCAAATGTGGTGCGTAAAAACTTATTGTGAACAATGAACGTTTGAATGAAAGGTACCTTTGAATGGTGTCCCTTTGTCCTTTCACACTTCATTCCATCCCAGTAAAGCATTCTCAGTTACAGTTTTTCTACAAAAGCAGTGGCAAAGAGGAAAGAGAGTTGAAGGAGTGGAAGCTCCTGGCTCTTCTTCTGCACGGTAAGCATGTTTGTCTTTGAAACAGATTCTCATTATAAAGCAAGGACAAAAAGCTGTAGATTATCTTGCAGTAAGCCCAGGCCTGCACAACTCCCTGTGTCTCTTCAGTACTACATCAAACTTGTATGTTCTGGTTTGATTTTCCCTGAAGTACAGTATAATTTAATTCACAGCTAAACAAATAATACATAATAATCTTGCATGTTTACATAGTTAGCAAAAGGCCACTAGTTACAGGAGCCTTTTGATTTTTGTTTTAAGTTCCTTACCCTAAATGTTGAATGTTCACTATTTTACCTTATTTGTAAATGTAGAAACCTGCCCGCCCCGAGGATCTCCCTAATGGGGAGACTCCTAAAAGGTTCTGTGCCAGTATTGAGAGATGAATGGGACTTTTGGTTTTTTCGGTCTTCAGGTTGCTGTTTATTTTTTTTTTATCAAAAGTTGAGCACACTGTCTACATCTCAGACTTAGTGTCCAAAGAGAAGGCACCAAAAGTCACAAGATGCACAGGTTCAAGGTATTTTAAAAATATTTTGTCCAATTAAGTCTTAGAACATACTTAATTTCTACCTTTCTACCAATAACTAATTATTTGTGTGTTCACACAACATCTGCATTGCAGTTCTTTTTAACCACTCTGTGCTACCAACACTGCACAAAATGGAGTAGATGAAGAACAAGAAGATCAGACAATGCCCAAAATCCTCCATCTTGCCTTCTATCTACCTTCATACTAAAAAACCAAAACTCTAAGTTTTTCAACCTGTGATAAACTGTACTACTATCTATTTCACACACTCGTAGATTCCAAAGTCTTGGAAGCTTTCTCCATGGATGAAGGTTAAAAGCAGTATTCTCTTGGGGATCAGGACTTCTCAGGACAGGCAGAGAAATATTCCCTGTGCCCTGGGTTCCAACAGTAAACAAGCTATCATAAGGATGTAATTTCTGTCTTTACAAGTGAATTTCTATTTTATTATTTTTACTTTATATTTTATATATAGAAAACAGATGTTAAAAATTTATTGTATTTTCCTTTCCTTTTAAAAATTATTATTTCTCTTTGTTGTGTTGTGATTAAATAATTTTTAGTGTAGATCAGAGAGCTCTGAATCTCCTTAATCTCTAGGCTTCCTGGCAATTAAAAAAGCTGAAGACCAGATTTGGGAGATTTGAGTAATTTTAAATAAGAAAGTATAATTTCACATCTCTTAGAACATTGGTGTGTTGGGTGAAATACATGTGAAAAGTTGAAGCACTGTATAGATGTCTTTTGATGAAACCATCCTCATCTCCAGTTGACAATTAAGTTACCTAGTTTAGGTTTAGCTGCTAGCAAGCTTTACATGCAATACAAAGCATTCCATAAACTAATTTTTGAACTTAAAGCAATTAATGGTTGTTTGAATGAGTTGAGTATCTTTCTGTTAATCTAATGACTGTCAGTCTTGTTTGTGTGGATGTCCAAGTGAGACTGTGTTAATTGAAGCAGAGAAGCCTTTTTAGTGACCCCTCAGAAATGGGTGGATGTTGACCTGGAGATGAGTGACACAGAGTGTACTGTCCTAGAAAGGAGGAGAGTGAAAAAAGAAATGTAGACTGCAGCCCATCTGTGGCATAGGAAGCTCGGGATTGTCAGCCCCTTTTCTCTTAGATAAAAGGTGCACATAGCAAGTTCCACTGGATTAGTAAAATGTACTCTAAAACAATTCTTCAAGATACGCATTATGTTTCAGTGCAGAGCTTAGCTAGTCAGATGTGGGAACTATGTGCACCATGGAAGTTATATGCATAACAACAGCACAGCCATGAAAGGGAATGATGATTAAAGACTTACTGGAGCATATAGAGATACAAAAGAAGCCACTGTAATCAGTAGGCATTATGCAACTGGTACATAAGCATTCTGGCTGAACATACCCACCCTGGAGCTCAGAGAGACAGTAAAATTGACATCCTTCGATGGAATATTGGTACCTTAGTAAGAACTCAGGGAGAGGGGAGGGATTTTGGCACAAATCTCTTAAGGTAAGTTTCTACTAACTAAAAATAAAAAACACACAAGGCAAAGACCTCTATGGAATGTTTAATGTTCACAGCTGTTACATGATGTTTCAGAAAATTGTCTGTAGAACACGAGTTCCCTATTTGTTTACCTCAGAAGCACCAACTTAATGAAACCAGAATTTGATCTGTGATTATTTAATTTAAAGTTAACATTTAAACCTTACTTTTAATCTTAGTGCTCCTAAGGTTTCTAAAAAGCTGCAACTTCTCTTTATTATGGCTAATAAATAATTAATTAAAAGTAAATTTGATCCCTCACTCTACAGTTTTTGCCAGCAAAGCCAATGACTACTGGCTATTTCATCTGATATTTCTGCAATTTTATGAGCTTAGCCCACTTGAAGGGAACGTAAAATTCCTAAGGGTAATTGGAAATTAGAATTATCTGCTCTAATGGAAAAATCTGAAATGAAATGCTAGTATCTTTAGAGTATATTATTTGAATGTGACAAACTTCATATGCTATGTGAAGAGAGGAACCTCAAAGAAAGTATTGATGCATTTCAAAAACAACTCCACCCTTCTAATTAGCTTCAAAACAAGGGATGGGGCCGGGGGAGCAACTACAATGGGAGACAGAAATAATGCATAGGAAGATAAAATTTATTTAAATAAAAAGTGGGTGGAGAAAATTGTTGTAATACTGAAGAGTTTGTTTTGGTAAATGAAGAAAGCTTCAAGACACTAAGGCAGACTACAAGCATAACATTGATTATATAAGCATATGTCTTAAGTTGGAAATGCAAGATGTGGCTAGAGGTGTGTATTCTATTACCATCTGTTAGAGGTGGGGCAG